AGTTTACAAGTTATGGCCTTATAAACAAATTAACTAATTATTAGTCTGGACGATCCCGAGCATCTTCCACAATCGCACTGATTTTTTTCATGGTAGATTTCATAATAATATATTTTTTTTTAAATTTCAAATTTGCAACCTGGATTTTTTTTATTTTTTAGCCTTAGTTGCAAAATGAACTATACGATACACACGCGTGATATAGTTATATATTATTACACATTCGGAAAGCTTATGAAAAGAGCTTTAAGTTTAAAAAAAAATCGTCAAGATTCGTTGAAAAACAACGGAGTTACCGACTGTCAAATTTATTATTTTCAAGCGAATTTCGCTTTTTTAACGGCAGGACTATGAATATTATTGTCAAGTGACCCTCTGACTTTTGACAATATTTCTTATGCACTTAACATACTTCCACAAATAAAATATTTTTATCTGGGAAAGTACTCGGGTTGCCGGTTATGACTATATTTTTTTTGCCGCTACCAACCTAATTTGTTTAACAATAGCGTCAACTTTGACAGTCTGTAACTCCGTTGTTTTTCAATGAATCTTGATGATTTTTTTTTAACTTTATTTTTCGACTATTCAAGAAGGACAAGCCTCTACGCGAATTTCTTTCTGTTGTTGCTTGTTTCATAAGATGAAACGTTTCCGTGGAAGTTTTCCTCAGTTTCACGTAAAATTTGCTTTGCAATCGTCACTAACACTTAAACACTTTGCACTCAAATAACAATCATGAAAACTAAATGAGATATCAACAATCCAAGAATATGTGGTTACAGAGCGCGTAATTCAAAAAGTTCCGTTATTTTCTGACCAAACCTCGTATGTACTATTGTTAACGTAGCAGTGATTAAACATGTCATTATTTATATTACCAAAAATTGATCCTNATTGCATGCTTATTATCACACAATGGGACAGAATTGCGGCAATTTGTTTAGTTTGCAGTAGTGTTACCAACCGTGCATTGTTTAACATGTAAAATTACATAGTTTACAAGTTATGGCCTTATAAACAAATTAACTAATTGTTAGTCTGGATGATCCCGAGCATCTTCCACAATAGCACTGATTTTTTTCATGGTAGATTTCATAATAATATATTATTTTTTAAATTTCAAATTTGCAACCTGGATTTTTTTTATTTTTTAGCCTTAGTTGCAAAATGAACTATACGATGCACACGCGTGATATAGTTATATATTATTACACATTCGGAAAGCTTATGAAAAGAGCTTTAAGTTTTAAAAAAAATCGTCAAGATTCGTTGAAAAACAACGGAGTTACCGACTGTCAAATTTATTATTTTCAAGCGAATTTCGCTTTTTTAACGGCAGGACTATGAATATTATTGTCAAGTGACCCTCTGACTTTTGACAATATTTCTTATGCACTTAACATACTTCCACAAATAAAATATTTTTATCTGGGAAAGTACTCGGGTTGCCGGTTATGACTATATTTTTTTTGCCGCTACCAACCTAATTTGTTTAACAATAGCGTCAACTTTGACAGTCTGTAACTCCGTTGTTTTTCAATGAATCTTGATGATTTTTTTTTAACTTTATTTTTCGACTATTCAAGAAGGACAAGCCTCTACGCGAATTTCTTTCTGTTGTTGCTTGTTTCATAAGATGAAACGTTTCCGTGGAAGTTTTCCTCAGTTTCACGTAAAATTTGCTTTGCAATCGTCACTAACACTTAAACACTTTGCACTCAAATAACAATCATGAAAACTAAATGAGATATCAACAATCCAAGAATATGTGGTTACAGAGCGCGTAATTCAAAAAGTTCCGTTATTTTCTGACCAAACCTCGTATGTACTATTGTTAACGTACCAGTGATTAAACATGTCATTGTTTGTTTTACCAAAAATTGATCCTATCTCATATTAAGATAGTGTAAATGCAAGTATATGTTTTGATGGTGTTAAAAACAATGTAATCATAAACAAATTAGGAATTTATCTCTTAATTACACACTATTAGGTATATGTCGTTATTTCAAATCGGGATTAACTTTTATTTGTAGCAATTAAATTATCGCTATTGCCTTGATATCCCTGAGCCATAGCAACAACTTTTGTATTAAAATCGGTATTTCTGATAGGATTTTCATGTCATTTTACAGAAACAGCCCATATTTATATTCCTGTATATATGTAGATATTGTGCGCTCTGCACCACAACGTGTACGTATACAGTTTTTATCATTTAATAGCCACATATCAACACTACGTCGAACGTATAACTATAAATTACATAACTAATAAAATATTGTGTACAAACATAATTTTTTACACGCGTCCAAAGCGCGATAAATGAACTGAACTTAAGGTCAACTAGTTATCTCGCGAATCTGCCGCAGATAAACCATTTCTTCCATCTAGTTTTTACGATATATAAGATTGTGTCCGTGCAGGCTAGTTTATTTGGTTCTAGGCTTTCGGCGGTACGTTTCCGCATTTCTTTTTCAATTTATTGTTTGTTTGTTCGGGATGGAAGCTATCACTTTCACGGCGAAGACCAAAACGCTGGAGCTGAACACGGTGCCGGTGCCTAAAATCACCGCCCCCGACCAAGTGCTCATCAAAGTGGCTTACTCTGGAGTCTGCGGAACCGATCTCCATATAATCCAGGTCTGTAAAGTTCTTCTTTTATACAGGATGTGCCACGAGAACGTGCACAAACTTTACGTGGACATTCATTTGATAAAAATAAAAAACAAAACAAATATATACAAGGTTAGTCACTATAATCTGATAACTTATTGTGAGTTTATTATTGAAATTACAAAAAAGTTTTTAATACAAAAGTTTTAGCTTTTTTATGAATTTTTATAATATAGTATTAGAAAAAACAATTGAATAATGGAAATCACTAAATACCCCCTATATATTAGTGCATACGTACATTCGTAAAATTTTTCTCTTTTCAAAAATATTTGAAACTACTTTTGAAGAAACAGGAAGGAAATTTATGTCTGATGGATCGCAGCGGCTATGGACGAGGCACGCCGAACAAACAAATGACTGACGGAAGTCTATTTATCATCATTAATTTATTTCCTATAACAAACTATTTTAAGAAAGAAATAATGTTTAGTGAGAACGAAAAATTTGAAATGCTTCCATAAATACAAGCGCAACTTTTTAGTAACGAAAATGTAATCTGTTCGAAATTTATTGTTGCTTGAATCTGATGAAAAGCATTATTTATTCTTTCTTCTAACTGCTTAGGTGTATTAATTTGTTCACTGTTTTCACTGTGTTGTGTTTTCAATTCGTTTTTTAAGTTTTACTCGAAAATCAATATTTTTTTTAAGGAAGAGGGTAGTAATTTGTAGAAAATTGAAAGATCATTCCGAAAATACCATGGTTGTTACCGTAAAGCAGTGGCGTACTATTTTATTTAGAAAAATATGCCACCGATACCCTGTATGTACGCCACTGAAGCATGTAAATTTTAGGAAAAGGCCTCAGATTTTGGACAATGTTTACAAAAATACATGCGCCCAATTTCAAATTATTTCACTTATTATTCAGCAAAGAATATGAAGTTTCATTTTTGGCCACCATTTGTGGACCACCCTGTATAATTTACAAGAAAATGGTTTTCAAAGTTCGATTTCTCGAAAATGGTCAAGTTTAGGTACAGGATGTGCTATATGAATTTTGTTTAGAATATCGAGAAGAATTGAAATATGGAATAATATACGGGGTGTTCCGTTAAAGAAAAAGCAACTTTGTTCGTCATAACTTTTTGATTGATCCTGTATTCTTAATTTTTCTTTATTTTAATGGATTTTAAAAAACCCTAAAACGTTTGTGTTTTATGATTTTTCGATAGAGATCTTACTTTAGGAGATAATCGACATATCAACGAATGTACGTAGTAGTTGAATTCATGTATTTATTGTTACTTTTGTATATTTATTTTATTCAGATTTAGCTATGTTTTAACCTATTAATTAAAATTCCTTTGAAAACTTGTTTCAATCGCAAAACAGAATTGAATCATTATTATGTATGAAATACGAAAATATTATTATGAAGTCCACCGAAGAACTGTTCTGAGGCCCTTTTCGTTACTTCAGCCATATTAATGATAAAATGTGTACTAGTACAAAATGATATGAGACAAGATTATTATCATCTCTATAATCTATCTTATCTATATCCTCTTCCTTGATTTTAAAGAGAAAAGAAAAAGAATGCAATAAAATCGAATTCAAATTTTAAATATTTATATAGTTAAGTTGTTAAACTTTTACATGATAAATAAATCTCTTATTGGCGCCTAAACTATAACAAAGTTCAACCGTTATCGACAGCGAACGTAAATAATTCGTAGATTATTACTTAACTTTAGATAATTCCAAGCAATTAAACAATTACATATGTGTGTTTCGTTATAAAAACACCAATAGCAATCTCAGAAATCCAATCACGAATTAATTTGAGGTCTAATAAAATATAAATAAAATTATGCAATAAAAAATTCCATGTCAAAGCGATATACGCGGCATGTATAGTTCATTCACAAAACGTTTTGTTTGTAGTATCTGTGGTTTTTGTTTTAGGAGAGCATTAATCTGTTTCATTCCCAAATTCCAGCTTGTTAAACGTAAAGGAGAGACTGAAATAACTACTCATTAGTGTTCTCTATTTTCTGAATACTATTTCTCTTCTATCACTGTGCAAAATTGTTACGCCTCATATTACTTTTGAATGACTCTTTTTTAGGGAGAATTTCCGTGTAATCCGAATAAAACATTTACTTTAGGACATGAATTTTCCGGTAGGGTGGTAGATGTCGGATCTGATGTGACAATTGTCAAAACAGGAGACAAAGTGGCTGTCGATCCAAACGAGTAAGTACTTTATATAAATTTATTGTTACCAAATTAAATTTTTAAAAACTATGTCCTGGAATTCCTCAGGGTTGAGTTTTAGGACCACAAGAATATAAACATGTGCCATAGTGACTCTACATGATCTATTAACAATGTCCGTTATTTTTTTTAGTGGGTGCCACCGCTGCAACTTCTGCCGCAACGGGAACCCCCACTACTGCCTGGTGGGAGGTATCAACAACACCATAGGCATCTACAGAGACGGAGGATGGGCTGAATACGCCTTGGCACCTGTACGTCAAGTCCACAAGATTCCTGAAGCCATAACGCTTGAACAAGGTACGATCAATGACTTAAAATTATATAAAAATTAAGAAATACTTTCTCTTCCATACTCTAGCCGCGTTGACGGAACCTCTGTCCTGTTTATCCCATGGTTGGGACATCATCAGCCCTGTCACTGTGGGAACGAAGATCCTAGTCACAGGTGCCGGAATCATAGGGAACCTCTGGGTCTGTGCCCTCCACCTGCAAGGTCACAAGAACGTCACCGTGTCAGAGCCTAACACGACAAGGCTAAACATGTTGAGGAATCTGAGTAAGTATGCCTGTCTCTCAATAAAGCCAATAAAAAGCCAAGCCTTTTTTTCCCCTTAAACAAGGAGGAGAGGATATATGACCTTTCAAAGGCTGCAAATGAAACAGGTGTTTTGATTCATTACTCAAGAACCATTGACATACAGATTTTAAGTTTGATACAGTGTGGTAGTTTCACATCCTCTTATATCCACTGCTCTGATATCATGCTCAAGATCTTCTGACCGTCGCTTTCTAGTTCTACCTCTACGTCTTCTCCTTAATCTTTTTTGTTATTCTGCAATCCAAATGTGGTCCAGCTATGCCAGTCCTTTAGTTTACAAACCTAACGATTATAGCTCCTTGCATAAGGTCATGAAAGTGATGAACCTACTGGTTCCTACTGGATCTGTATATGCTGTTATCCTGCATAAAGGTATATACTTCTAACTATTCTTCATCAGGGCTTTCTAAGTCCAAGCCTCACACCCGTGTAATGTCCTTTAATTAAAGGAAATTCGCAACTAGTAATACTGCCATTAAGACATCGCATGGTTTCAAATGATTTTTTTCTAATACGTTCACTTCGATCATTTTAACTCAACTGCTGCAACTAGTAATTAATGGGTTTTTCAATAGGCTTGTCAGAACTTGTAATGGTGGCAACCTAGCTGAAAATGTCGATGTTAAACATTGACGACTGTGTTTGAAATCAACAGCGCGTAGAATTAATTCGAATTTGCCTTCAAAAAGAGTGTTTGGTTCCCCATACGTTTCTCGCATACGAATTTATGGTTAATATAATCGACCAACTCAACGGTCTCTATCATTTAGTTGAAAAATTTCAATAAACCGATCACAGTAAAATATCGTTGCTGCAAGCCAGGGTGTGTAAGAGATGATCAGTACCTCTATTTCTCTATTTCCCGTTGTTCTTATGAACTTGGTCCTTCTAATACAACTATGTAGCCAATTTTGCATCACTATCATCTTCTGAATGCTTATAGAGTTCAAATTACTCGCGAACTGAGTCCAACTGGTCATCATTTGCATCAAACTTTTGCGAACTGGACTCAAGAGAAATTGAAACTCATTCCACACTTTAGGAAAAAACAATTTCTTCCCGTGAAGTGCTTTTCTGACTCAATGAATTCGTAAATAAATATAATTGCAGGATTTGGGATATGAAAATCCTCAAGTGATACAGGAGGTGCTTCTTTATTTTCGGAAGGTCACCACTTGGTGTAGTTTTTGGACTCAAGACCTGATCGGAACTTATTTTTTTGAAAACAATGGTGGAAAACGTTTTGTTAATGACGAGCGTTACAGACAATCAATTTATTACAACAGTTTGTATTGTATTGACAAAAATTATAAAACATTACTTTTTAAAAGGTTGAAATGCCCTCATTGCTTATGAAAGAATTTGTATCTCATAACACTTTTCAACCCTCATAAATCTCCCCTGTGCTAAAAAAATTATAAAAAATTTACGTTTTAAATCTTGGAATGCTATAATTGTGCAATAATTTAAAAATGTCATTGGTTCTTTTACCATAACTCGGTTAATTTTGAAGCTATAGTATCCTACAAAAAAGCGTTTTAAAGATAATTTCGAGAGCTATAAGATCGTTTGCATATAAAACTTTTTAAGTCCTTCGTTTTTTAAAGGGAAAGGATCGAAGGGCTCGAGGCAGGTCGTTTTTTCACTAAAATGGACACTTCAAGCGGCGATAGGTCCTTTATTTTTTATGTTATAGGAATAAAAAAGCAAAATATTTGTTGAAAAAAAGCTACATTTTTGTTCTCTATCATTTTTTACGTATCTTTCATAGTTTTAGTTATTATATAAATAAGGCAATTTTTTCAACTTTTACCGTACATTTATCAAAAATACGCATTCTGAACTCGTCTAACTGCTCTTTTTTCCTTAAAAAAATATTAGCAACCCACGTATTTTTGACGATAACTCCTTCAATTTTGCTCTAATTAACTTTTATAAGTACTCATTTTCAAGGTCTTTTTGAGTACCACAAAAAACTCCAGGAGCGTTATACACGTAAAATTAATCCCTTTTCCGTTATTTGACGTTGAATACATCAATTCGGGTATTCCCCCAAAAGAAGTTCCCTTCCACTAATCATATTTCGATTTGTATAGGACATACAACACTATTTAAAAAACGATTTTCTTTGTTTATTTATAAGCTATATTTTGTTCATTTCGCGAAAAATACTTTAAGCGTTTTTTTTTTTCATTCAAAATTCCAAGCTTTCAATCGTGAATAACTAAAAAACTATTGATTTCTCGAAAAAATTCCTCGAATATTTTTTGGTCAAAATTTGATTCTCTATCGATTCCCAGCGTTATTTTTGAAAAAAAAATTTCCACCCCCGAGAAGGGGTGTCAACCCCCAACAGGGTGGAAATCAATCGGCGCTATGTCACTAATGTTCATTGACCTTTTCTCTAACTATCTGCAAAATTTCAAGTCGATCGGTTCAGTTTCAAATAATTCGGAGGTGAAAAGCTTCTATTACTGTACTATATCGGGTGTCCCCAAATTTACGCAAGATTTGAATTTTGCGCCATTTATGCGGTAGTGTTGCCAACGAAACCAAAAAAAAAACAGCGTGACAGCTGACAATTCAGAGTTATTAAAAATGGAGCGCTGCACGAAAGATCAAAGAGTTTTTATTGTAGCGCATATTTGAAAAACAAGGAAGGTTTGCAATTTTCGTACAAAATATTGTCGGAATAAATTGAAATAATTGAAAAATTCAGGAATACTTGATCGATTAGTGATCTTAAACAGTTTGGTCGTTCTTCAACTAGTCGATCAACACAAAACATCCAAGCAGTTTGTGAGAGTGTTGCTGAGAGTTCAGAAACATCAATTCGGTCAATAGACTCAAGAACTGAAGCCTACTGACCACGCAGAGTGAAGAAAGTTCGTTGAATGGATATGGAACAAGTGGATGCTGATTTTCCTCATCATTCTCACTGGTGAGACTCATTTTCATCTTGTGGCTTCGTTAATCGACAAAATTGGCACATTTGGGTTTCAGACCACGAGTGATTGTTGAGAAACAAATGTATCCAGTTTTTGGACTCAAGACCTGATCGGAACTTATTTTTTTGAAAACAATGGTGGAAAACGAGTTGTTAATGACGAGCGTTACAGACAATCAATTTATTATTTCGATGAATTCTAATGTCAACTGGCCACCAAGATCATATGATCTCACCCCCTTAGACTTTTTTCCTACGGAATTATATAAAATTCAACGCACCAATGAAAATTTACTTCGCGAAATGTGTGAGCAAGTTGTCGAAAATTTGATCTCCAGAGTACATTCAGACATACGAAGTCGAGGACATTTAAACGACAGTATGTTTAAAATATAATGTCATCGATTGCATTTTAAAATAAAATAAAACTTACGGGATCACCACTTGCAATTGTTATTATGTCTCACTTTAAATTCTGACAGACGTACTGGAAAACCCAGTATAAGTTGCAGTTTGTTTTTATTGACAATAGCCAATTTGCTTAGAATATTTCAATTATAATCTGAAATTAGCGAAACGAACTTAAAAATCTGCCACAATATTGTTAATTCAACTAGTCAGGTACTGTGATTTCAAAACATAATCCCAAATCATGACCACTTAATAGCAATGTCATCTGTATATGCACATAGGCAATTTATCTTGATTTTATACAAACATGACCAAAAGTTTCAAAATTTTTCCACCTTTCCATAATTATGCACTTTTTATTAAATATTAGAGATAAACCACTTTTATCTATTATTCGCTGCCACCAGGCCCAAACATTATGGTTTATGGACGTTTACTCGTGAACAGTGCATTCTATTAGTACAGTCATTGAAGCTGAAAATCAGCTATAACCCCCGAATTCTTTGAAACTGCATGGATTTGCATGAAAATTTAGAATAAGGCTATTTTTTTTTGTTAGGGGTAAAAACTACCCCTAAGTTAAAAAAATTAAAAAAATTAAATTTTAAGCATTTTATTGATAAAAATCTTGTTCAAGCTCAAAGATTAAATAATGTTCCATGTTCTCGAACATGTTTTATGATATATTTGATCTTTTCGACCCTTTATTTAACCCTTAAAAAATATATATTATAAATGCAAAAAATAATGATAAAAAAATATTTTTTTAAAAATTGGAATGATTAAATCATGTAATTATTTAAAATAAAAGTTACCTTATAGCTAATAAAAGAATGTTTCCCTTTCAACTCCTAAAAACTACCCCTGTATTGACAAAAATTATAAAACATTACTTTTTAAAAGTTGAAATGCCCTCATTGCTTATGAAAGAATTTGTATCTCATAACACTTTTCAACCCTTATAAATCTCCCCTGTGCTAAAAAAATTATAAAAAATTTACGTTTTAAATCTTGGAATGCTATAATTGTGCAATAATTTAAAAATGTCATTGGTTCTTTTACCATAACTCGGTTAATTTTGAAGCTATAGTATCCTACAAAAAAGCGTTTTAAAGATAATTTCGAGAGCTATAAGATCGTTTGCATATAAAACTTTTTAAGTCCTTCGTTTTTTAAAGGGAAAGGATCGAAGGGCTCGAGGCAGGTCGTTTTTTCACTAAAATGGACACTTCAAGCGGCGATAGGGCCTTTATTTTTTATGTTATAGGAATAAAAAAGCAAAATATTTGTTGAAAAAAAGCTACATTTTTGTTCTCTATCATTTTTTACGTATCTTTCATAGTTTTAGTTATTATATAAATAAGGCAATTTTTTCAACTTTTACCGTACATTTATCAAAAATACGCATTCTGAACTCGTCTAACTGCTCTTTTTTCCTTAAAAAAATATTAGCAACCCACGTATTTTTGACGATAACTCCTTCAATTTTGCTCTAATTAACTTTTATAAGTACTCATTTTCAAGGTCTTTTTGAGTACCACAAAAAACTCCAGGAGCGTTATACACGTAAAATTAATCCCTTTTCCGTTATTTGACGTTGAATACATCAATTCGGGTATTCCCCCAAAAGAAGTTCCCTTCCACTAATCATATTTCGATTTGTATAGGACATACAACACTATTTAAAAAACGATTTTCTTTGTTTATTTATAAGCTATATTTTGTTCATTTCGCGAAAAATACTTTAAGCGTTTTTTTTTTTCATTCAAAATTCCAAGCTTTCAATCGTGAATAACTAAAAAACTATTGATTTCTCGAAAAAATTCCTCGAATATTTTTTGGTCAAAATTTGATTCTCTATCGATTCCCAGCGTTATTTTTGAAAAAAAAATTTCCACCCCCGAGAAGGGGTGTCAACCCCCAACAGGGTGGAAATCAATCGGCGCTATGTCACTAATGTTCATTGACCTTTTCTCTAACTATCTGCAAAATTTCAAGTCGATCGGTTCAGTTTCAAATAATTCGGAGGTGAAAAGCTTCTATTACTGTACTATATCGGGTGTCCCCAAATTTACGCAAGATTTGAATTTTGCGCCATTTATGCGGTAGTGTTGCCAACGAAACCAAAAAAAAAAAACAGCGTGACAGCTGACAATTCAGAGTTATTAAAAATGGAGCGCTGCACGAAAGATCAAAGAGTTTTTATTGTAGCGCATATTTGAAAAACAAGGAAGGTTTGCAATTTTCGTACAAAATATTGTCGGAATAAATTGAAATAATTGAAAAATTCAGGAATACTTGATCGATTAGTGATCTTAAACAGTTTGGTCGTTCTTCAACTAGTCGATCAACACAAAACATCCAAGCAGTTTGTGAGAGTGTTGCTGAGAGTTCAGAAACATCAATTCGGTCAATAGACTCAAGAACTGAAGCCTACTGACCACGCAGAGTGAAGAAAGTTCGTTGAATGGATATGGAACAAGTGGATGCTGATTTTCCTCATCATTCTCACTGGTGAGACTCATTTTCATCTTGTGGCTTCGTTAATCGACAAAATTGGCACATTTGGGTTTCAGACAATCCACGAGTGATTGTTGAGAAACAAATGTATCCAGAACGTGTCTCTGGTTGGTGTGGATTTTGGGCTGGAGGCATTATCGGCCCAGTCTTCTTCGAAAATGCGGCTGGTCAGACAATTAATCATAATCCAATTTTTATGCCTAAATTGCAAAATATGGATGTAGACTACATATGGTTTCAACAAATAGGTGCCACATGCCATACAGCCCTGTATGAGTCATTTCCTGTTCGTGCAATTTCTCATTTTGGTGATCAGAGTTGGCCGCCAAGATCATGCGATTTCATGCCGTTGGACTTTTTTCTTTGGGGTTTTTTAAAGTCTAAGATTTATGCCGCAAGCCTACGACCACCCGTGCTTTGAAAGAGGAGCACTGTATCAACGAAATTCAGTCGCAATTAAAAACACACTTTATAAAAAAGGTTCTAGAGGAACAAACTAGAAACATTCCAACCAAATCTATAGAATATTTAAAACTCGCCTTAAAGTAGAATATTTTTTTGAAAGTTGAAACTTCATACTTTATAAAATCGTTTTAGGAAAAATTGTTACTTTCCTCTTTTGTTGCAACTTCGCAAATCGTCCCTTTTTCCAAGTGAGGTTTCAATTATTCCTAGAGAAGTTTGATTTCTTTAAAAAAAATTGATGTGCCTTCACTATTAGCGCCTTTCGGTTCCAGATACTGGTTACAACCTCATAACTCCAGACCAGCTGAAGAAAAACCACCAAGACGACCCAGACTACCTATTCGACCTCATAATTGACTGCAGTGGATTTCCACCAGCCATAGAATACGCTGCAACCCTGCTACAGAGGGGTGGGAAGCTCTGCTGCTTCGGTATTGCCCCACCGCATGGAGAGATAAAGTAAGAATAGGTTAAGTTACACTTCAAGATGATGTAAAATCTTGTATTTCAAAAAGAAAGAAGTACAAAATAAGATATGTGTTATTTCACCGGCTTCTCTTGTTTTTCAGAATCAGGCCGTTCGAAATTTACATGAAGGAGATGAAAATCTTCGGCGTGAACATCAACCCGTTCTCTTTTCCCAAGTCCATTGGCTTGCTAGAGGCCATGGGTGATAGGTAAGGCAAAAAACAACTGTGATTTGAAAGTAATTACAAGGGTGCGTTCCAAACTGAGCAGGACTTTTTAAAAATAAGATCAAAAATTTTTTTGACAAAACAGATTTATTTTTTTTCAAAATGGTTCCCTTCCGACTCAATACATCGATTTGCACGATCTAAAAGCAGGTCGAGTGAGTGTATTAAATCATCGGCCGGGATGTTCTTCAGCATGTCGCTACAAGACTTTTGGATGGCTTCCACGTCTACAAAACGTTTTCCTTTCATCGGCAAATTAATTTTTTCGAAAAGGTAAAAGTCACACGGTAGCAAATCAGGCGAATATGGGGAGTGATTGACAGTTAAAACGCGATTTTCAGTCAACAAATCGGTGACAAGTAACGATCGATGTGATGGTGCGTTATCCTGCAACAAACTCCATATTCTGCGCGATATTTTGACCGAATACGACGAATACGATGCACCAAACGCTTCAAAACGTCAAGACAGAATTGTGCATTAACGAACTCTTTGCCGCCCTTGAAATCTTAAATGCATATCATAGTCTTCACTTTTGACTTCTCCAAATGCCATTTGTTGGGATTTTGCTCGTCCAGCTCCTTCCAATCGACACTTTGTCGCTTGGTTTCTAGAACACATTGAAAACACCACGTTTTATCAACAGTCGCAATGTTGCAAAGCAAGTTTTTGTCCTTTTTGGTCTACTTGATGATGTTCTTTCTCAGCAATTTTTGGTGTCATTCAACTTATGCGGAACAACCCGCGCACAAACTTTTCGGTAGCCCAAATGTTCAGCTAAATTGCGATAAATTGATGTTTTTGAGATGCTCACTTCCAATTCCATGAATCTAAATGAAGATTTTGGCCGACCTTTGATGAATTCAAGCACGGTTTTGATGGAATCTGCGGTGATTATGGATTTCGGTTGGCCAACATGTTGCTCACCATAAGCTTGGTTCATCAGTTGAAACGTTTCAGTAAGTTTTATGAAGTTTAAAACAAAACTTGATATTAACTCTTTATTCGATGCTCATTTTTGTACCAATGACACAAACACACTCATGAAATTTTTGGCAGTACATCAATGAAGGATCTGTCCTTCCGACGCATGTAATTGCCAATAGATGGCGTCATTAGAACTATCTATTTTTGAAAAGTCCTGTTTACTTTGAAACACACCTTGTATACAGAATGCTTAGTAAGTCGATGCATTCCTTGCAGGCGGTTATAGTACAAGTGATTTGTGACATATTTCCTTAATATATCATATTCCGAAAATGCTTAGTTTCCGATCTACAGGGTGTTAAAGTTTTAATTAAAAAAATGTAAATTTATAAATATTGCGGAAACCGCTAAGAATATTTTAATGAAATTTTACAGGCTTTGACAATTAACAACAATACATGTTTTACGATAAAAATATTGTTTTCAGTGGCGTGCGCAGAGGCACGTCTGGATATTTTTAAAGAAAAAAATGATACGCCGCTAATTTTTCTTAATATAAAAATTGTTTTTGAATTCCTTGTTCAATTTGAAAGAGAAAAGGTATCTCAACTGATATTCTTATGACGCACCGTTTTCGAGTAAAAAAATTAAAATCGATTTATTGCATCATTTTTTCCTTTAAAAATATACAAAGACGTGCCTGTGCGCACGCCACTGGTGAAACTGAAAACAATATTTTTATCGTAAAACATGTATGTATGTTAACTGTCAAAACTTGTAAAATTTCATTAAAATATTCTGAGCGGTTTCCGCAATATTTATAAATTTACATTTTTTTTTAAAACTTTAACACCCTGTAGATCGGAAACTAAGCGTTTTCGGAATATGGTATATTAAGGAAATATATCACAAATCACTTGTACTATAACCTACTGCAAGGAATGCATGGACTTACCAAACACCCTGTATTTGAATGGCGAAAATTGGACTGATATATATTGTTGCCCAAAAAAATTCAAAAATAAATCAGTCTTGTATTTCCTTTTTCAGATACCTCAACTACAACAACTTGGGCATCAAGACTTTTTCACTGAATGAATACAAAGAAGCGATAGAATTGCTGAAACAGGGAAAAATTGCCAAAGTCATATTTAAGATTTAAAAAAAATTAAAAGATATTTTCAATACTTTAGATCAGATCATTATGATCCGTTTTTGTTGTCATTATTGTTTTATAAACATTTTTATTCATTTTAAATAAATGTACAAGAAAATGTTTATTTTCTTGAGAATAAATGCAGATTATAAACATTATTAGAAAGTAATAATATAAATAATCGGCGAGAAAATTACAATCAAATAACAAAAAAAGAATTACTGCCATTCTGTTTGAGATTTTTATCTCAGAAAATCGCCTACAGAAAGCCATTCTTGTGAAAAATGACATTATTTGCAGGTCTGTATGTTTCGGTTTGCGCGGCAATGTCGCGGATTTAAAACTTTGAGTTCAGTAGGCGATGAAAACAAGATGTTGATTGTTGTGGCTATCAGGTAATGTCATTACTGTCGTGTTTCTTTAGGATTCTCATCACTCCATACATGCAAATTATGAAATGTCCACAGAGTATCAAGACAATTAAATGTATGTAAAACTAATGATCACAAAACTTTAAAAAAGCAACTTCTTCGGACCAGCGCATAATCTAAGAGTTAGTTCTAACCGAAAAGGCAGTTCTTAAAAAAAAGTTTGTTCTAAAAGTTAAAAAGGAAATTTCATGAATACTTTTTATATGCCGGTCCTCTAAAAGGTTAATAAATAAATCAGTCAAACAGCAGTCAAACGTCGGTGAATATTGCGGACACCCTGTATATAAATATTTGTCTATTATAAATTTTAAAATAGAAACCATATTGTGAATAATAAAGTGTAATCTCTTTAACGTCTTAAAATCCCATAATCAATATAATTTATCAGTATGTGGACTCTAATTATTCAATTCAGAAATGTATTAATAAATAACAATTTGTAACAATATTTGTTCTTAGGATAGTTTTACAGTATATTCTAATAACTTTAAAAATAAATATATTATTCCACCAGGACCTCTTCCAAGGCCACTTTGTTGGTATTAAAAATTTAATGATATCCTCATTCAAGTACTGTTTTGTCTAATTTTGCAACATAAGTTTTCAAGTTTAAGGCGAGTAGTAAAAGATAATATCTCGTTAAAAACTAATTTGAATGCATTTCGCCCTGCATTTCGCATAATTATTAAGTCTCGACGCATTTGAATTATTAAAATGTAATGTAGGTACCCGCTATTCTTTCACTGTTAGTCTCTATAGGGTCAATACCACATTATCTAGATTGAAATGAACGTCTAGATTTTCTGATTCACCTGTGCACGGCGTTGCCACTTCGCGACGTTTGTCCCTAACTCTGCGATTTTTTTACTTCCATCAAAAGATAACGGTTCTTATATAAATTAAACATATATTTGATTAATACAATTATTGTGAGACCTGATTAATCTCGTTTATAATATTTTCGTACGATTATTTCGCGCTATTCTCCAGACAGACACTTAATACGATACATTTGAGGATGGCAACCCTGCCAGAGCCATCCATCCCTTTGTCTCTTTTAAGGGTGCCCTGACGCCCGATCTGCCGGTCAATCTAGCCATCTGCGACATTACCTGCACTCTGCAGCCCCTCGGGGAACAATTGACGGTCTGATTGCTTTGTCGCAGACGACTCTAATCACAACTTAATTGTTTATACATACAGGTGTCGAAGAAAGTATGATAACCAAATACGATGCAGTTGTGACCGTTAGGGCGTCGAATAGGGCGAGGCATTGAAGCATTCATTCCGGAGGGTCACAGCAGTGGCGCACCGGAGTTATTTTTTTCGGAACGAATAAAAAAATCCAAATTAAAATAAATAAGTAGCAACTGAATTTTCCTCAAGGTTAAGTTGTTAAGTTCCAAACAAAAAATTGAAATCTAAAAATATTTCGGTTATTCCTAAGATTCCTCTTTTAACACGGACAAAACGAATTCGTCTTTCTTGAATCTATCGCTTTTCAAACGATAACTAGTGTCAAAATTATCGGATGTGAAACAAAAATGAATAAGTTTTGCCCCGCTCAATTTTATTTTTTTGAAATAGTCATAGAATGCTGACATTTTAATTATCTATGTATCAAAAATACAATTTTTCCACGGTCGGGAGTAGAAATCAGTTTCTGTGACATCAAAATTAAAACAGAAGTAGTCGATTATTCCCAAGGGAGTATAATGCTCCCAAGGGAGTTTACATTATGGAGAACGTTTTTCATGCAAAAAAAAAGATAACATTGAAATTATTTATTGACATTTAAATTAAATGTTACATTTGTACAATTTTCAAAATTAATATTAGAAGGAATATTACTTTCGCTTACATTTACAGTTTTTGTGATTGCGCTAGTAGTGGTACCTACTAAAACCTGATTAGCAATTTTGGTCTTATTTTCAATGGAGTTCTCGACATAACCCTCAGCGACTGTCGTTGATTTCCAACCAGCATGACGCTTTATTGTCGTGATATCCACACCAGCATCTGCCAGTAATGTCGCTGAAGATCTTCGTAAGCAGTGACCAGTATAACATGCAGCATCAGGTAATTTTAAATACGAAGCTACTACACTCGGAATTTTTCCCATGGTATTCTTGCCAACTGGCTGCGAACTACATTTTCCTGCTTTGTAGTACAAAAAAAGGCGCTTATGCTTGACGTGGGGAGGACGAAGGGACAGGTATTTTCGAAACAATTCAAGCATATTTCCCACATCGGTAACCACAAAGGTTCGTGGAATCTTTGTCTTAGTGTTTGGAATTTTTACAATCAAGGAAGAGCCTACATCCTCAATATCATCTACAGTTAAATTGACTAGTTCATCAGTTCGACAAGCTCCGGCAATCCCCAGAATTAATCCAACCTATAAAAAATCAAAATACTTAATAATTGAAATACCTAACAACAAAAGTAATCTTACCTTAATCATTAAGAATTCTTTGTCATCTGCACTTGATAGAAAACGGTCGATTTCACCCTTTGTCAATATTTTCGATTTTTTCGCTTGATATCCGTCACCGGTTCTTTTCAAAAATGCGATCAGCTTGGGGAATTTGCTTATATCTATGTTGTCGTAAATTATCAAGCATGACTTAACCATAGAATATTGCGCCCATAATGTGGAAGACTTGTAATTCTTTGCATTTTCACTGAAGTATGCCAACAAAACATTCTCGCTGTATACTTGAACATTTTTCTCGGCGCACCACTTTTTGAACCGATTGTAGGCTATATCGTATAAAGATCTTGACTTCGTAGGCAGCAAATTGCTTATTGCAATATTTGCAGCCTCCACAATCTCTTCCGACTCACAATTATTCATTGTGCACTAAACAAACTTTAAACTAAACCAAACTAGCACCTTAATTTGACAATTCTTTTTGTTTGTTTATTTTGTAGTTATGACAATAACTCAACGACTACTAAATAAATGCTCAAATCCGAATACAATAATTCTGGTGCTACTTACTTCATAATGACAAAATATGTGTTTTTAAGTTAATGAGACCGTGGAAAAAATAGTATATACCATTCGGGAGAGATGCTATTTTGTCCTCGGTGCATTGTAGCCCTCGGGCTTCAAATTGCACCTCTGCCAAAATAACGCATTTCTCTCCCTTATAGTATAATGTACTATTAATTAACTGAAACGGATAATTTTTTTGTTGCTTCAATATGACCAGTTATTTTAGAAAATTTATTACAATTTCAACAAATTTTGCAATTCGAAAGAATCAATACCATTACTTTATTTGATCAAAAATTACAAAATAGTTTCTTAGTATTATACATAGTAGAGTAGGGGTAAGGTATAATCTCTTAAACCATATATTTTTTAAACTTTAACTGTGCAAGAATTACTTTTCGATGTGTTATCAAGCATCGATGCTGACGGACCGACTGAATTAGAAACTTCCACCACTTTCGATGATTCCATTTGATATTCGAATTTTATTCTCAATGGAGTTTTCAGTGTACACGGCATTTATAAAACAATAAGATCAAGATCACAAAAAATTCTGTTTCATCGGCTTTTGGTGTAATTTTTCACTAGATTTTATTTAACCAATCAGCGATCGCATTACCTCTAGCGTAGGCGTAACGGTTTGTCATTGTTCATTGTAAACGAATCATTAATATTGGCGTTGCTAAGATTTAGAGATTTTTAGTTGACAGTACCAGCCGTGCAATGTTGGTTGCATAAGCTCGACGTTCACGTGACTTGTAATTATTAATGGAGGCTCTGTGGGTTTCCATCAATAAAGTAGATTTTCAACCAAAATGTATTTTGATGAAGGTAAGTAATGTCTATCCCAACTAAAAGTACCGAAACGAACGAGAATACAGGAATTTCAAATATGTGGCGATTTCTCTTGAAGTCCTTACTTTATTAGTACCAACCTATTGAATGGCAAATCAAATGAAAAATCTACAGTTTTTAGTAAACTTGGGGTCTAAAGGAGAGTATTTTTGACAGGTACATATACAGGGTGTAAGAAGTATATATATTAAAACTAAATCTGTAAATCCTTACGTAATTGGAAAAAAAGCAGAAATGCCTGAAAGAGGTCTAACAATTACAAGATCTCTTATTTTCTTAACAAAAAAACCTTCTTTTCTTTTTTAATAGTATCTCGCTTATTGTTAGAGATGGGCCCAACAAACCCTATATGACTATGCTCAATAGAGAACATTCTATCCAAATATGTAAAAATATACAGAGTGTTCCATTTAAATTAACAAAGTTAACACCCGCGGCCATTTTGTTTGGACTTCATTTGTTTTTCAAATGTCATTTTCGAAAAATTCATAAAAAATCGTACAACTTTTGTATTTTACATTTTTTTTATAACCCTTAAAACAAAAAAATTAATGGGGGGGTCAAAATATAGTGAATCACCCTGTACACAGTCCCACAAAAAAAACAAACAAGAAATATAGATACATAGCTCTTGTGTGTTTTTTATGTTGAATTCGAATCCACAGATCCATAAGGGCATTTTTTAGTAAAACGCCATAGTATCCCCTAAAATAGGGTAAAATAGTGAGGATAAGATAAAGCTTTATAATGAAAAGCAACAATTTATAAATACTTCGAAAAAAACATTTTAAAATAATATTTTGAGCATTGGAAAGAAAAATATTATGCAAATTAAATCCACACCACCCTTACCAGAGGGTTAATTCCGCTTATATGATCAAATAACTAATGTAAGTGCAAAACAACGTGAAAAATCATAGCCTTGCATTTTATACTATCTTTATAAATGTAGGTTGATAGACAACATACCAAAAAACGAATATAACTTATCCCTTGAAGGGTTAGAAACCACCTACAGACCAGGGTCCGACATACCCCCTTAAGTCACTAATTTTTCTATTCCACATTTTTGCTTGAATTTTGTTACCACGAGTTTTTGGTGTCGCTGATTACGAATCCGAAGTCCGAATCCGAAAATTTCAGAATAAAAGATGGAGCATCCAATATAACGGATGTAAAAATCGAAAAGGCATTCAAAATTCGAAGATTTTATTTCAATTATTAATATCAATTAACATTTCCAAAATTCTGTCAGATCGTTACCTTTCATTAAAATGATGTGTTTCATAAATTGACATAACTACTTCCTCATAATTCTAATCGAGAGGTATAACAACAAGTTTTATTTATTGAATTCTGATGAAAAATTGGGAGCTGCTTTAAAAAAAATGATAACGACGTCATCAAAAAATAAAAATCTTGTCCTAGCATTTTTCCTAAACCTTGTGTTTTTGTACATTCCTGACTTCTGTAACACTGGTAGTCAATCTGGTAGGAGAAACTTGAAAATCACTGAATATTGCGTATAACTTTCAATATAAACTCAAAAATTCATAGGAACGAATCGCAGATTTGAAATTTGTTTTTTTTTAATTTGAAATTAAACAAAATTATATCAGTGCAAACATTTTTGAAAGAACCGAGGGAATATAAAACTAATGAGAATGTCACCAGAATGCAGTGGCGTAGTATGTAATTTATTCCTTCTCTTTTTATTACACAGTCGTGGAATAATAAATGCTTAATTTTAATGATTCTAAGGGCTTCAAAAATCGTCCCAGACTATACGTCGGTTCGAACCACAACCTGCTTTCCCTTATTTCCCTATGCCAGAGCCCCGACAAAGACCAATTACAAGATCGTTAATGTTTCCTTAATCCCCCCGAAAGCAACCATCGGCTGACGCCACTGCACGTCGCAGGTGCCTCCAGTTTAAAACGTTTAAATCCTCGTGACGGTGTCAGTCAGTTGGCCCTGCTAGAGCACAACGGAAACAGAAGAAGCCCGTGCGCGTTCCGTTAAATATTACGGTGTACGACGTACGACACTGACTAGTGACTACTGCCACTCTCAAAGATGGCGTCGAAGGATGTGGTGTTCGCCTGTGCGTTTGTTGTGATTCTGTGTTGTTGTAGCACCTGTAAGTAAACACTTTTATCTGTTTTTATCGCGATTTTGATCGAACGACGTTATCAATTTCTCGGGGGAACCACGAAGGTCCGAAAGAGGCTTTTTAAATGACGCTTGTGGTGGCCCTGCCGTTTGTGTTTACCGTACGTTTCGCGTTGTGGTTACACCTACTTTTAATTTTTGTTGGCAACGCTTAAGCGGGCAACAATTCCGAAATAATTCGTCCTTATTTGCGTGTATTTTTTCCAGCAAAATTTTGTGGAGCGTCCAAAGGAAAAACGAGAAAATTGTGTCATATCCATCAATATGATTCATCCGATACCTGACTAACTTATGAATTATTACAATTACTAATACACGGTCATTATAGGTTGATTACAAATGCAAAAAATGCGGTTTGCTACTGGCCGCACCAACGGAAAAATTACCGATTGGTAACCGATGCATTTGGTATTCTTTTGTTAATTTTAATTAAGTCTTACATGGCACTCTTCGCGTTAATGAAATGGATTAATATCAAGTGACATTTGACCCGTGCGTCATTTTTAATGTTTAAATAAACAATATGTAGAAAAATGGCAGATAAGTTTTCAAGAAAAATGTACGAAACGTATTTCAATTTCTAATATATTTACAATTTTTTGTAAACTAGTTATTTAAACAATAACATTGCACTATTTATATATAATACGTAGTGTATTCACAAAAGTTTTAAAATTATTAAAGATAGTAAAAATTGCAATAAATTCTTGTGCAGCTTATAAGGCATTTAAATATTTTCTATGTATAAACCATTCAAGTGTTTTGCGTTCCTTGGAAAAGGTTTGTTTCGTCCTGGATTGAATTTAGGAGCTACATTTGGAATTAATTTCTTAGAAAAGTCCTTACTAAAAAAAACTAGCCATTTTATTTTAATTTCCTGTAGTATCCGGGAAATGGGTCACAAATAAATTTGCAGGCAAACCAAACCTACTGAGTTATCAGTATCATTCATCATCATTTTATTCCAGAGGGCGTTGGCTTCGCAGAAGTCGTTCCCATTCCAGGAATTTAAAAATAGAATCATATAGGATCTACTCAGAAAAAGGATCACTTTTCTTTTACCACTTCCTCTTTGTCACACAGTTGCTTTATTTTTATCTCTAACATGGCCATTAATATTAATGGTGAACTCACACTAAGTTGTGCAACACACAGGAAATAGCATTTTTTACAGTTACTTGTTTATTATTTACACTGTAACTAGGACATGATTGCACCTTGTCAATTCAAATAATTACTTTATTTGACTCGCCAACAACGATTGTATTTAGATTCGTGAATGGATAATAAGCAATTGTCCGAAAGATATAATCTATTCCCGATTTTTTTGCCAATTAAGGCTAAACTGAAAAAGAGAAAACAATACTGGATTTTTTTTTAGCTTTTGCCCAGAGGTCCCCTACTATTTCCTACATAACCCAGACACAAATCAAAGACATCGGAGGCACAGTTGAATTGGCATGTTCAGTGCAGTACACGGAAGGCTATTCCGTGATATGGATGAAAGTGGACAAACTACAGAACTCGAACAGCTTGCCCATCTCCACGGGCAGCTCCCTTATACTACACGATTCCAGGTTTTCTCTTAGATACGATGCGGTAAGTAACATAGCGGATTTCTTTTCAAAAGGTACTTATCAATGGCATTTATTTAGACGAGTTCGACGTATTTACTGCAAATAAAAGATATCCAAGAAACGGATGCCGGGTATTATCAATGTCAGATTCTTATATCGCCCAGTAGCAGAGTCACCGGAGAAGTGGAATTGCAAGTTAGAAGACCGCCATTCATATCTGACAACTCCACGAGATCCGTGGTCGTCTCAGAAGGAGAAGGTAACTAAGATAGGTTAGGTTATTGGATGGTTACAATAGAACAGAAGATTTGAAGTCACAAATTATATGTAAAGACGTCTTACAATTGACAAATGAAAGATATTTAGAATGTTTAAAACATGGTTGTTAGCATTAATAAATAAGTTAAATAAAATTGGCCCACAGTGAGAACCATGTGGAACTCTAGAGAGAAGACTGGATACAAAAGATATTGGATACAAAATTATTAATTTTAACATATTGTACTCTTTCTCATATAAAACTATAAGTCTAAAGGCATAAAAAAGGAGTTCATTCAACTTTTTCACAAATTTTGTTAATTTGAAACTCGGAACTGATACTCAAAGTGATAATTAATAGGGTTATATGTGAAAAATTATTTCAAAAGCTGTAGAGTTTTCTGCTACTTATATTAATTCCTGTAATTAACAACAATTTATAAAATTTTAATATTAGTTATTTTAGAAATAAGAATCAGAAATGACACTTTCCGATATTTTTGTATTCCAGATTTAATTGACACTCCTCTATAATTTGATATACAGGGTGTTTCGCATAAGAACCAACACAGAGCAGAGGTATGTAGGGGAACCCAAAATATGGTGATTTAACGCAACTTTCTTTTATATCAAGTTGCATCCATATGAAGTTATAGGCCTTGAAATTTCGAAAAAAATCTATCTGAAATGTGTACCAAGAGCATTAATCAACAATAAGTAGAGTTCATTTGAGCATTTTAAAGGGTTGATAGGGGATGATGCACCATTAAAATGTGACAGAATCTTTTAACTTAAAAAATTATTACTTTATTTTAAGGGGAATTTAATTCTAAAACTTTTCTTACTCTTGTTAGTTTTCAAAAAACTTTGTCGTTTTCAACAAAAACACGAGTAGTTAATAATACGTATTGTAACTGTTATTTAAAATCAACGAAAATTCAAAAGATAGCTTTGAATTTAAATATGTCAAATTTGACAATCAGGAAAAAGTTCGAATAAGAATAATTTAGGTAATAGAAAAACAAACAACTTAAACAACAGAAATAATATACAATTTGCACTGATAAGTTATAAGAAATTGATCAGCATTTTCTCTCGGGCATAAAATTCTTAGTCGAAAATTGAAGTCTACTCTATCCAATAACTGCTGATTCTTTCTAATGAACGTGCATTTGTCCGTAATGTGATTCCACAATTCTGCTTGAGTCACAACTGGCGAGGAGTGCACAAATTCTTTTAACGTTCCCCATTTGTTGAGGTCTGGTGATCGTGGAGGCCATACTTGTGACTTGTGGGCAATTATTTCCTCTTCCAATCCATTTATTTGGATACTGGTGATTTAAAAAGTCTAACAATATTACTAAAATGATGGGGTGCTTCATCATACATAAACCAATGTTCCAGTTTGAGTTGTAGTGGCACCTCGTCAAGTAGATCCGAGAGAGTGTTTTGGAGAAATTCTAAATAAGTTTTGCTATTTAGTCGATTTGGTAAAATAACCGGACCAATGAAATACCAATCAATAACACCGATCCAAACATTTATTTTAAACTCACTTTGGAAATGTCGAAGAGTTACTGAATGAGGGTTTACATCGGAATACTCATGATAGTTATGTAAATTTGAAATACCTCTGCGGGTGAAACAGGCTTCATCAGTAAAGAGAATTTTCTTTTGAAAATTAATGCCTTGAAGTAAAATAAACTGACAGAAATTCACTCATTTAATCAAATCATTCGGTAATAATTCTTGCACTTTTTGAATAAGATATGAGTGTAGTAGATTACATCTGATCACTCGGTGCACAGAAGTTTGCGATTTTAAAATGCTTCAATGGAACTCTACTGACTGTCGATTAATACTCTTGTTTTTTTCTAAGTGCAAAACACCCTGTATTTTCTCTATTACAAACTTGTATTATAAATATGATTATAAAACTTTTCATCCAAAAATCTGGAAAAACCAAAATTTTTAAATTGTATAAAATATGTGTTGTATGAAAGCACAAACACAATTCTTTAAGAACAAAGCAAATAATCATCAGAGTCGATATAAAAACTGACTATAAACTGACGAAAAATCTTCAGCAAAAATTGGAATACAGCCTTTCATTGATTATATTAAAATATGTCAAACGAATTCAGATCTAGAGAAAGAGGTGGCAGTAAGAATCATTGGTAATATTTCAAGTTAATCGTTTTGCAGCTGTGGAAATGGAATGCTACGCTGGCGGATATCCCCCACCAAAGATACAATGGAGACGTGAGAACAATGCCATCCTTCCGACCGGGGGGTCTATTTACAGGGGCAACATTCTCAAAATAAAACAGATCAAGAAGGAAGACCGCGGCACTTACTACTGCGTGGCTGAAAACGGAGTGGGAAGAGGAACAAAACGTAGGATAACTATTTTTCTTATGATAACATGATACTAATTTTTCTCGTTCTGCTAGGTAATATTGCCGTGGAGGTAGAATTTGCCCCCGTTGTGTCAGTTCCCCGTCCACGTTTGGGTCAAGCGCTCCAATTCGATATGGATCTGGAGTGCCACGTGGAAGCTTACCCTCCTCCGGCCATCACATGGGAAAAAGAAGATATCACCCTGTCGAACAACCAACACTACAAAATCTCTCATTTCGCTGTGGCCGACGAGATCACCGACACGACACTGAGAGTCATCACCATAGAAAAGAGGCAGTACGGGAATTATGTGTGCAAGGCAGCCAATAAATTAGGAACTGCCGAAGGCAGAGTTGAACTTTTCGGTACGTTACGCTTATTTTTCCTTGTTATAAATGTGTGCTATTGCCGATATTTTTATTTCTCAAGGACAAAAAATATAAAACTATCCAAAATACATATTTCCATTTTTAATCGTATGATCTATTTCTTGTATCTTTTGATGCATTTTGCGTATTTAGCATAGCTATAGCTAGATATTGTTTGTGCCTGTAGAGTCTGTCATCCCCGTATGCCCCCCTGCCTGTGGTTCGGCCAGATACGCGGAAGCTGCTACTTTGTCGACGAGTACCGCTGCCTTGTTAATAACGCTACTCATCTGTGTTGTTAGGTAAGTACTCTATTCTTTATCGGTGTTAGTTGTTTGGCAAATAATGGAACTCGCCCTTACGACTTGTTTATTTTTTTTTTTGGTTTTGTTGCTGAAACTTGTTATATGCAAAAGTAGAACGGTGTTAGTTGTCGCAGAGCTATGTAAGTTGCTGTGGTGTTACCCATAGTTTTAGGAAGGGATAGTAGCATACAAGAATCAAAATGCAGGACTGCTACCGGTATAGAAAACTGAAGTCAGGAAAATTTGTAATTGGCAGGGAAAACAGATCTAACATTTTTTTAAGCCACGTCAAAAAAGAGACCTGCATTTCGAGGACTTTATATCTATCGTCTTGTGAACCACTATTTTCCCACTGATTTAGAGTTTGTCGGCATAACATGGTAAAATCAATCAAACGGTGAATAGCTCTTCCACTCTAAATTCTTGATAATTAAGAATCATGCCGAATAACTTGGAAAAGTTAAAACTATACATTTTCAGAGATTGCACATTCATATCCAACTCCAGAAATGCAAAGTTTTGTATGAAATTGTACTAGTGATTTACCAAAGAATAGGGATAAAATAATATTTGACTTGTGTCTTGTGGAGAAAAATTTTATAGAGGAGTTCAGAAAATATGATAAAAAAAAATTAAGGTGTGATTTTACTACTACTAAAAATAATGGTACAAATTCCTATAACAATTTCTGGAAAACACAATATTAAGGAAGTTAATATAACCTCAAAGTAAATTTTTTTAAATTAATATTTTTTTTTTTTAGTTAACCCCATATTTGGTGTAAACATTTAATGGTAACAAACTGCATCTACAAAAAATAACATAACTTTTGTAGATGTTTTCCAAATAATTAAACAACTTTTGCATAAAAATCATACAAAAATGTTCTAGGATAGTCCTCCAAATTGATAATGTTAACCATTTCTGGGGAAAAACAACGGTTAAAATTTATCAATTTTGCAGTATAAACGGGATAAGATTAGAAGATAAAAAAAATATTTTATGTGGCAAAAAATTTGATCCAACTCTTTATTTCATTGTCAGTATGAAATCATTTAATTGACAATTTAAAAAATATATAAAAGTGTAATTAATTAGGCAGACAGTTATGACAAGCTAGACCTAGACCAGCGGTCTTCAAACTTTTACAACTTGCGGAACACCGCCAACACCGATTTTTTTGAGAAACCCCATCTAAAAAAAATTTTCGAACATTTTTTAATTTTTTACTGATTATTTAATATATTTATAAATACTACAACAAAATAAATATTCCACTACGTAAAAATTTAAGACTTTAAAATTTAAAGTAAATATTTATCGAGTAATTAAAAAAAGAGTAAATATAATCAAAGACTGGGATGTGCTTGAATATTTTTATATAATATGTTAAAATCAGGTGCTATTGTCGTAAGTTGCAATTGCATTTCAAATTCTGCATTAAGCCCATTACGATATTTTGTCACTACGTACGTAGAAAATGATTTTTTGCACAGGTACGTAGTTGCAAAAGGCATTAATACATTTATTGCCTGGTCAGCAATTTCAGGAAATTTCTTATAAATCTAGCCAAAAATCAAGGGAAAGTCGATGTAACCAACGCGAAGAAACGCTGTGCCAGCTTATAAGACATAAGCCGACTTGCACTTGCATAGATAAAGCTCTTATAATAACTTAAACACGTGTACTTATAAAAATAAAAAGTTTGAATAGTATACATTTTTTTAAATTTTTTAATTATCGATAAAAAAAATTTAAATTTTACCTCAGGGTTCTGCGGAATACAGTTTGAATAGTGCTGACCTAGACTATACTTATTAGTGCCACCTATAAATAGGAAGCTCAACTAAAATCTTATACCACTGACTTACTCCTTTTATTTATAAGCTATTGATTATGTCATATGATATGGAACTACAACGTTGATGGGTTTTTATTGCATGAATCGTTCAAATAATTATTTAGAATGAAAAAATCGCGGAGTGCTATTAAATTAGAGGGTGGAAATTGGTGATAGGGGTGAAAATGCAACCCTTACGGTTTTTTAAGTGTCTCGCAACCAAAGCAAAATTTGAGGGTATTGCAAAAATTTTGTAGATAATGAGATTTTCTATTGAAATAGCTTATTTAAAAAATTTTAAAAATTAAAACAATATTGTTATAAATTCAGTAAAAACTGAAAAAAAGGCAAAGTTTGAGCGACCATAACTCAGTCTATTTTCATCGAAAAAACTTTTATAACCCATCATTTTGTAGGAAATTTTATATACTTTTTTTCTATGAAGCAATGTCTATACCTATCTCTGCTCAGAAAAAAGTTATTTGCATAAAAGTAAAACAAAACAAAAAATTGAATTTTTTGCATTTTTTTGTTAAATTATTTTTAATATATTTTGCAGTAAATAAATTTTTAAAATTTTTAAATGCTATTTTGATAGAAAATCTCATTATCTACAAAATTCTTCCTATGCAATACCCTCAAATTTTGCTTCGTTTTCGAGATATACTCAAAAAACCGTAAGGGTTGCATTTTCACCCCTATCTCCAATTTCCACCCTCTAATTTAATAGCACTCCTCGGCTTTTTCATTTTAAATAACCATTTGAACAATTCATGCAATAAAAACCCATCAACGTTGTAGTTCCATACCATATGACATAATCAATAGCCTATAATACATAGTAAGAAAAAGAACTTGAAGTTTTAGCTAATGTTATCGATATACAAATTACTATT